TTAGATCGACATATTGGATGAGTCGCTTGAGAGTTTGCAATTTCAACTCTAATATTCATATTTAAAGTTATCACAAAAGTTACATTACTAATTTTCATTCCTTGGAATTTACTATATATATGAAAATATTTCAAATTTCTCCACGGTAGTAATATTGATAAGTATAATTCTAATTTTATTATTTTTTAATTTGGTTTTTGCGAATTAAAAATTTTCGTTGATAAAAATAAAAAGAAGTACAAAAATAGTTTGAACAATTGAATTTACAAGAGAGAACTTCCAGTTGTGAGATGGGTGTGAACTTCCATTTCCAAGTAGTTGAACATGGCCAACCACAAACTCTCACTATAATCTTGTTCATTCAAAACGTAACTTTATGTACCAGGTACATAATGTTTAACTTCCTTCATCTCTAGGCTCGAAGCGTAAGTAATTCATTCTGAGGTTGCAGAAAATCTACAAACTTTGACATGCTACGTTAAATAACATTCAAATCATTATTTGCCGCATGTAATAATTTAATTATGAAACAAATTAACATTTTGCATAGACATTATATTATAAAATATTGATCATTAAATTGTCATCATTATATATATATACGAGCAAATTAAAGAGGCTTTAATTAATTATAATATTACAGTTAATTTATTAACATTGCTGCAATTCACATACTCTGAAATTAGTAACTCATTTTATTAAATAGCAATCAATTTGTATTAATTCAGAAACTTAGTTTAAAGCATGTAGAGCATTATGAATTTCATAAATTTGGAGAATTTACTGCAAAATTAATTTTATCTTCATTATATATGAGAATGCAGAGAAAATTGACAGTTTAGAAGAATTTATTTTTTTTTTTATAACGTCTGACTAAAACGTATTTTTACTACTGATGCAGGAATTATGTAATTTTTGTCTAATTTTTACTACTTTTTTTTACATTAATTTTGTCCCACTAAAACTCACTTTAACTACTTAGAAAAACCTGAAAATTATTCCAATATTTGACTAAAAAAAACTTTTACTACTGAAAAAATTACAAAGGAACTTAAATGTCCGACCAAAACGGATTTATACTACTTATATAGAAATTAAATTATTTTGTGTCGTACTGAAAATATTGAGGAAAAAAAATAAAATGTACTTAATTGTCTAATTGAAACAAACTTTTACTACTGAAAAATTTGCAAAGGAACTTAAATGTCTGACTATAATTGATTTTTACTACTTACATAGAAATTATATATTTTTTGTTTCACTAAAACTCAGTTTTACTACTAATGAAGAAATTAAATTTTATTTAATATCTAACTAAAACGGACTTTTACTACTTACGAATAATTTTTTAATATTAAATAAGTTTTACTACTTAAAATTTTTTTACTACTTAAATAGAAATTTATATTATTTCTGTCTGACTAAAAACTCATTTTTACTACTGAGGAAAAAATTAAATTATATCTAAGTGTCTGACTAGAATGAATTTTTACTACTGAAAAATTTGCAAAGAAATTTAAATGTCTGACTAAAACGGACTTTTACTACTTAAATAGAAATTTCATAATTTTTCACCCACTAAAATTTACTTTTACTACTAAGGAAAAAATTGAAGAATAAAATTAACTAGAATTGAAGTAAACTATAAAGTAAAGAAAATAAAAAATAGAATACATCAAAAAAATGGCATCACGAATAAATGTGCAATGAAGTGTCGCATTTTTTTTAATAAAAGATAGTTGAATTGTGCTTTGTCGGACAAGGCGTATACCACCACTACTAGCGCAAGGTAGCAAAAAAGAAAGAGGATGAGTATCCGTAGAACGCGAATTGAGTTTTGCAGCTCCTCCATGGAATCGGAAATTGTATTTCTTACTCCCAATTGCCGATGAATTGTAAAAGTGCACCTGTTCTTGAAGACTTTGAATTCAATAATAAATTTCCATTTTCTCGAAAAAAAAAAATCCTCTTTGAAATTACAACACCTCATTTCCTTAAATATATCTCACATATACGGAAAATTAGATAAATTTTGCAAAAGAAAAAAAAAATTTTCAATTATTATTAATTAGAAATAAAAAGAAATTAATTAGAATTTTTAAAAAACAATTGCAAGAAAATGTCCTTAATTAAAAAAAATTAATTGAATTGTTTTCAAATTAAAAAATAATTAAACTAAATTAAACGCAAATTTGAAAATAAATTAATTAAACGTATCAAAAAATATAAATTAAACAAAAAAAAAAAAGGTTTAGTAGTCAAAAAGGTAGAAGAGAATTTTCTTGCTTTAACACTTGAGAAACTAAATCTATATACAAGTACAACTAATGAAATTTACTTGCAGCAAAATGAGTTTGTCCTCTCAATTCAATAATAGAATTTACTTTTAAGTAAATTTAACTTAAATCAAGTAAATTGATTTTTTTTCTTCTATTCGAAGTTTAATTTTTCGTCTAACCACATTGTGCAAAAAAAAAAATACCAGCCATAGTCGAAATTAAAAAAAAGTAACAAAATAAAAAAAAATAACAGTAAAAATTAAATGGATCTTCGTATATATATATATATATATATAGGAAAAATGAGAAAAAAAAATTCAATTAAGATGTTGAAGGGATAAAAAAAAAAGTTGCGTGTGAGAATACGCGCTGCAGATCTACTCGAGACATCCCTTAACGAATCCTCAACCCCGTTTCGCTCAATTACGTTCGTTTCACACCCCCCCACTCTCTCTCTCTCTCTTTCCGCCCCCTTTTCAACTCGTTTATCCTTAAGCCTTGAGAGTCAGAGGAAAGTCGAAAACGGCGAAAGAACCTGAGATGAATACAAGGAAATGCTAGAGCCCTCCAAGAATGAAGAGTGATTCTTCCTCGTCGAAAGATTTTCTTCCGGGAATGTAACTTTTATCCAATGCAGACACAACTATATGAGCTTGAATTTCCAAGAAACTTCTACTCTCACATTCGAACTCAGAAGATTGTTTCCTTACATAGATATATATATATATATATAAAGGATATAAAGTTACACTTAAAATTAAAATTGAGAAAGAAAAATTGAATTTTTACTTTCTAAATATACTTTTTTATAATTATAATTAAATAATAATTGTTTAATTATATTTATAAAAAAAAATATTTAAAAATTAAATTTGGAAATAATTTAATACTTTTGTTTGTTTGGGAAAAAAAAAGAAATACAATTATTAATTGTAACAGTTGATTATTTTGCAGAATATAAGCAAAGAAACGTTATGAATGTCTAATTGGTGAGTGATTTAAGTAGATTAAATAATATGAGACTCGTTACTGGAAACGCAATGTTTTCAATTTGCAAACCCTATATATTTCAATTTTACCCTCATAGCATCACGTGTGAACGACAAGAAACAATTAGAGCGCGACATGATTAGCGAACTTTTTAGTAGCCATACCAGTAGAGGGAAAATTAAATTTTTGCATGTTCACGTCTCTTATTTTTTTTTTTTTTTAATTTTTTTTTTTTTATTAAAGTTGTATGGATTTATCATTGGGAAATGGTAATAAAAATTAATTACTTTTCGTTAGTTTTTGTGTTATATATCAATATTTTGGGAAAATTAATAAATACAATAGAGGTGAGGAGGAATTTTTATTTTATTGAATATAATTTTCTGCTTACATTATTTTTGTCCCACTGGAACTTACTTTTTCTACTAGAGAAAAAAATTGATTATTAATTAAATGCCTGACCAAAACAAACGTTTTCTACTTACGTAGAATTTACATTATTTTTGTCTGACTAAAACTCACTTTTTTCTACTGAGGAGTAATTGAAATTTTATTCCAATGTCTGACTAAAAAGGATTTCTACTACTTAAATGGAAAAATACATTATTTTTGTCCCACTTTTAGTACTAACAGGAAAATTACATTATAATTGTCCCACTAAAACTGAATTTTTCTACTCAGGAAAAGAGGAAAAATATTTTAATGTCTGACTAGAAAAGGACTTCTACTACTTAATTGGAAAAATACATTATTTTTGTCCGACTAAAATTCACTTTTTCTACTGAGGAGTAATTGATATTTTATTCGAATGTCTGACTAAAAAGGATTTCTACCACTTACATATAAGTTACATTATTTTTGTTCCAATAAAAACTTAATTTTTCTACTCAGGAAAAGAGGAAAAATATTTCAATGTCTGACTAGAAAAGGACATCTACTACTTGAATGAACAAATTCATTATTTTTGACCCACTAAAACTCACTTTTACTACTAACAGGAAAATTACAATATTTTTGTCCCACTAAAACTGAATTTTTCTACTTAGGAAATGAGTAACAATATATTTTAATGTCTGACTAGAAAAGGACTTCTACTACTTAAATGGAAAAATACGTTATTTTTGTCCCACGAAAACTCACATTTTCTACTGAGGAGTAATTGAAATTTTATTCGAATATCTGACTAAAAATGATTTTTACCACATACATATAAGTTACATTATTTTTGTCCCACTAAAAATGAATTTTTCTACTTAGGAAAAGAGGAAAAATATTTTAATGCCTGACTAAAAAAGGACTTCTTCTACTTAAATGGAAAAATACATTATTTTTTGCCCCACTAAAACTCATGTTTACTACTAACGGGAAAATTACAATATTTTTTTGTCCCACTAAAACTGACTTTTTCAACTCAGGAAAAACAGAAAAGTATTTAAACGTCTGGCTAAAAAGAACTTCTACTACTTACACAGAAATTACATTATTTTTGTCATTTCTTCTACTAAGAACCTGAGAAAAATTAAAGAAAAAATTAATGTCTGACTAAAACGTACTTTTACTACTCAATTTATAATTTATTTTTTGTTCAAAAACCCTTGAAATTGTTTCACACTTACCTGTGATGCTTATTATAATTGTAATTATAATTATAATTATAATAATAATTTTCAATAAACGCTGATTGATTATAATAAATTGTTGTGTAAGTAGGGTTAAAATAATAAAAGGCAGTGAAATTTTTATAACATCGCTTCTATAATTCATAACATTTATTTTCGGTTCATTTAATAAAATACCGTTACATCTTACTTACAATACATATGTGTCGCGCATGTGTGCGTTTTAAAACGACGCGTTATAGGTATACGGAAAAAGGCGCGTTCACTTGGAAAGTGATCGCGATAATGTTTTGGCACGTGCAGCAATAAAGTGAATATACAAACATTTTTCCTTTTTAGACAATTTTTTTTTTGCCAAGAAAGGTATATGAGCCATTTTTTTTTCGACGAATGCCCAATTTTTTTTTTCGGCAAAAGCATCAATGAGTTCTTTGATTAAAAAAAAAAAAAATTGAACATTATTTACAATACTTTCAGTATAAGTGAAAATGGTAAAAAAAAATTAAACAAAATAAATGAAAATTTTATTTTTCGAAATGGGAGAAGTTTTTATTATAGGTTTTTTTTTTTTAGCGAAAAGAAAAAATCTCTTTCAAATCCATTATTATAATAATAACACAGCACCTTTAATGTCCCGTATTGTTGAGGGACTGCTGAATTAAATTCCTGTACAAAGTTCCACTTTGAAACTGCGAGCGGTCAGGTATTTGCATTACATCTAAAGTGCATGGATTGAATTATCTCAGGCCGTAAGCTGTATTCAAACTGTGTCTGTTGCAATTAATAGAAACAGCTGGACCAGACTGGACTTTGTTCTTTGTTGCCTTTTGGTTTATACATACATATATACTATATATATATATATATATATATATATATATAGTTAGAAAGTCAAGAACTTATATATATTCTATCTCACATTTTGATTTCAATAAAATTGACAACTTTTCAAATACAAACAAAATAAGCTCTTTTGTTCGAACTGACAATTATTTCAATTCAATTATACACTAGAACCATTAATTTAATTATTTTAATTAATTTCTTTAATTAAATTACTTTAATTTATTTGTTTACCTTATTATCATATTTTTTTAAAATAATTTTCTCCAATCAGAAATAATTTTTACGATTAAAAAAATATTTTTCAATTTTTTTTTTTTGAAATACTGCGAGGGTAAAATAACAAATGGAAGTGTTTTGAAGTATTGTGAATTAAAAAGGGAAAATAAGTGAATATCATTTTTAAGAATGCAAATCTCTATTGTAATATAATAAAAACTTCTCTCTTTCATAAATTAAAATTTGTTTAAAGGAGAATAATTTTTCAGAAAATAATTTTATTGGAAAAATAACACACACACACACACACAGAGATAAACACACAACTTTGTAACTATTTGGTATATGAATGTGAACTAAAATATTTATTTCATTGCTGGCACGTTGAATATTAAAAAAAAAAAAAAAAAAAATTGTTGGAGAAGGAAGTGAGTGTACACAAGTCACGAAGTACTTTTTTTTGTTTTAAAGACAGTGATATATATTGTCATTTTTGATCTGAAAATTAACATATTGCAAATAAAAATAAAAATTGCAATTAAAAAAAAAAAAAATAGTAAAATTTTCATCGATTATAAAAGAAAATGATTTTTTATGATAATTTCGCTGAACAGAAGAAAATGAGAATTTTTGATAGGGAAATATCATGATTTGCACATTAAAATAATAATTACTATTTTCTATGGCGTCTGATTCGTCGCTTGGACAATTTTGTGTTTGGAAAATGGTTCTCTATTTTCGCCCAACCAGTAATAGGTATAAAGTACTTATTGTTATGTCGTTACACGCTCACTCCTATAATGTTTCATAGACACTCTATATATATATATATATATATATATATGTATATATATATGCATTTTATCGTTTTGAGAAAAGACCATGCTTTCTCCTCATATACAAACGAGATCCAACAATGTAGCGCCGTAAACGATTTACAATAACCAACAATTCGTTTTACCCTGTGTATAACCGGTAGTTACATAAGATATAGGCCAAAGGACCTTACGAGTATAGAGGAGAATATATAGAAGGTCTATGTTTTACAATATACTATATATATATATATACATTTAGAGTTTATGAAGCCGATGCTTTAGAGGCGCTTTTCTCCAACAATATACATACAGTGTTCTCTGTTACGGACGGAAGATGCAACGCGCACTTTAACTTATGTAAAGTGTACTGAAGAGGAAAGACAATAATTTAACTTTCCTACAAATATAAACCTGGATTTCTCAGACAATATTCCTTGGGAGATATAACAATATCTATATATACATATATAGTGCAAAACATATAAGATTAGAACAAAATTTCCCCAGAAACACTTTTTTTTTATTATTATTCTATCAAAATTTTTTACAAAATTGTTTTTTAACAAGAAAAAAAAGAATGAATTGAAAAATTTTTAATTTGAAATTTTTATAAATTAAAAAAAATTTTTTTTTTAAAGTGTGTGTAACTTAGAAATTTCATTATTTTACATTTCTATTATAATTTTTCTTTTTTATTATTTTGAAAATAAATCAAATTTACGAAATCCTTTAAAGGTAAATTTCAATATTGTGTCAAAGAGTCCCTGAAGATATTCAGTTTGAAGCTTGTAATGTTATATATATATAGAAACCTGGGGACATCAATGCAGAATGCAATATACTCAATATCGGTCTCATATTAGAGAGCATATTCTATCCGTCTCTCCAATTTCGAACTTTGCAAGTTTCTCCCGTTATATGGATATTACCTGACTTTAGGTCATTTGTGCATGGAAGGCGTGGTTTTTATGGTTTTATATTCCATTGATAAAATACCCCAAAAAAAAAAAAAATGAAAAATGAAAAAATGAAAAAAATGATCTATGAAAAAAAAAATTCAATTTCCTATTTAACTAAATTTTATTTCAAAAACAAATTATTTAAATAAAATTTTTTATACAATATAGAATTTCTATTTAATCGAATTTTTTCGGTAATAAATAAATTTTCATTTAACGAAATTTTGTATATTCAGCCAACAAATTTCTATTTAAACAAAATTTTTATTTAAAAAAATATTTATAAATGAAAATAAATTTTTAATTCTCCGAAACTAAATTTTTATTTAACAGAATATTTATAAATGGAAATTAAATTTTTAATTCTCCGAAACTAAATTTTTATTTAACAAAATATTTACAAATGGAAATAAATTAATTCTCCGAAACTAAATTTTTATTTAACTTAATTATTGGGTTTTTTTTTATAATTCAGTATTTCCTAAGTTACACAGACTTTTAATTTAATAAATTTTCATTTTATAATACCTCAATATATGTATATATTACAAAAGTAATTTTCTAACAAAACATTGTTCTTTAATTTACATTGTTTTTTTTTTAAATAATAAATTTATTATAAATTATAAGCGCATTGAAATACTTTTACTGGGGGGGGTTAAAAATAAAATAAAATTATATAATGGGATATGTCGATCTCATTATATTTAGAAATATTTTAAAAACTTTCATAATTTGTTTATAAGACAGGTTATAATATTTTTTTTTTCTTCCTAATAATGAATTATATTTTAATAATCTTTGAAAAATATAACTCTTGAATTTATTAACTGTATATAATGTCATTGCAATCATTTTTTTTATGTATGTCATTTACACAGTTAATAATAAATTTAACGATTATATTTAAAATGTAACAGAGAATCCAGTTCACTTAAAATTTGTTTAAATTAAATTCAATTAAATCTAAAAATAAAATCAATTTTTTTCAAAAAAAAAAAAAATTATTGTTACATCTTCTTAAAAATATTTTTATAAAATATTTATTTATAATTTCTATATTTATAATTCTTAATAATAAAATAAAATTATTTTTCATTTGATGATTAAATAGAAAAATTGTTTTGAATAAAAAACATAAATTTGAATGAATTCTAATTAAGTAATTAATAAATTATTTAAATTTGATAAAAATCTATGATTATTTGGCAATAAATAATAATTAATAATAATAATTGAGGCACGTGCGTAGGTCTTTCAGACCTAATCTATGTTTGTAAATCTGTACAGCCTCAAAAGCGCCGAAATATCACGCACAGCAGTGAACGTGAAACAGAGTATTGCACAGGATTAATTACAAATCGTTGACAATAAAATTCAACGTATAACAAAAATCGAGTAACGTCGTTAGGCTTCTTATTAATTTTTTTTTTTTCCATATTAAACATTTCTATTTACTACCGTTATTCCTTAGGCTGTATATAACTATTTATAACTTTTTACAACGCTAAGACGCATCGATTGGCAATAATAATTAACTGTACAAGTTTAGTTATTTTTCTTTTTCTTTTTTTTTTACATCCGATACACAGCGCGCATTTGTTGCGTTACGAGCTATTCAATTCACCGAGCAACAGTTTTTGAAGGGCGACATATTTATTGTGTAATTGAAAAAAAAAATGCGAAAAAAAAATTAAGTATCAAAAAGTCTTTATATACTCGTAAGAAAAAAGAAAAAAATAAAATAAAATTTAGAACAAGGCATTTGATGGTAATTTCTATAAATTTACTTTTTCAGGCCTGTTTCTAAATCTGGTGTTCTATTAAAAAAGAAATGGAATTTTTTTATTTTATTAATTTATGATTTTTTGTAAAAAAAAATGCCTTTTGAAGTTTAAATAAAAAAAAAAAAAAAACAGAGTTTCGACAAAATTAAATACTTTTGCTGCCACGAAAGACATTTGAGGACATTATTAAGTAGTAAAGAAAGTTCTTGGTCAGACGGTGAAATTCAAAGTTTCTCGCTGTTTTCTTGCTTTTTTTTCCCCTCAACAGTTTCTTGGATTTATAATGAAAAAGCTCCGTATATTAAACTTGATATTAAAAAATATCAATTTTATCATCTAACCAAAACTTTTTTCACCGTTTTAAATGTAAAAATGGAATTTTCAAAAAATCTACATATATTAAATTCATAATTTCTTTTTTATTAGAAACCGATTATTTTATTTTTTTTTTATTATTTGTTTTTGTATTCTAAATATCTACAATATTAAAAAAAATTATTTGAATAATAAAATCAGGGAGGTGAAAATATTAAAAAAAAAAACTAAATAAAATAAATTTTTAATATTTTTTCAACTCAAATAATATTTTCTTGTACACTTTTTGGAAGACAGGGTCAGGAGTTTAATAATAAAAAAAAAATGAACCGTAAAGCTAAAGAATTTTTGGCTTGTAAAAAGTCATTCTTTTTTTTTTTTGTAGAAAATTGTGGAAAGAGAATTGTCGCGATTGAAAAGGTATGTCCTTCATCTTAGACTATCGCCCTGAGACGTAGATATTAGATTGATCCCAGAACACACCTGGCACGGAAATAAATTTACGAGCATTCTAGTAAAAAACGATGTAACGCTTCAAGAAATACGTATTTTCCTTTTATTGAAAATTTCGATTTCAAGTTCTTTGAAATGCAATAAATTTTTACAAAACGATATCGACGCTTTGAACTCACTCTCTCTCTATATATATATATATTACTTTTCAATCAAATAAGAAACTATCTTAACACAAAATGTCACCGTCAACCAAAAAGGAAATTCATTTTTTAAATTTAATATTAAGAAAATGTTATTGCCTTTTTTAAAAAGGCGATTATAAAATGAATTTTACAACTTTTCAAATAATAAAATAAATAATAAAATAATAAAAAAAAATATTAAATATATTTTTCATAAAAAATAGATAAATGTTGTTTGTAACATAAAACATTTCCATTATTGTACCTTTAATTAATAATTATTTACAAAATAAAAATCATAATTAAATATTTCAATTTAAATATTTAATTTCAAATATTGTTGCTTATTATAATATAATAAAAATTCTTTTTTCGGAAAAAAAAAATTACTAGAATGCTTGTAAATTTTGTATTCCGTGCTTATGTACAAAATATTTATTATTTATATTTATTTATATATTTATATATGTATATATATAAAGAGGCGACTTCATACCGATCGAGTCGTATTTACTTCCTGGGTATACTATAATGATGGCACTTTGAAGGACGTGAGAATGGATCACTTTTTTTTTTTACAGAAGTTCCTCGTTGTCGTCAGAAACACCGTACATCTGGGGCCTTCGTTCAAGCAGCTGTTGTTGTTGTTTCCGATTTTGCAATAAAGCAATACTTGCAGCTTTATAATTTATAGGCCCATACGATCGGTAGTCCACATCTGCATAATCCAGGTCAGAAAATTCCGGCTTGAAAGGCTATTATAGAGCAAAAAAATAGAAATAATTTATTTATCACAATTAGCAAACAATAATAATAATAATAATAATGCTATTATATAAAAAAAATAAATAAATTATTACAATTAGAAATAGTAATAAAAATAAAAATAATAATAATATAAAGTTGTACAATTTAGTTTAATTTTTATTTCAAGTCTTATTAACAGGCAGCAACTGCATAAATATTTATATTTCCTTCTTTCAAAAAAAAAAAAAAAATTTTAATAAAATTCAAAACTTTCAAAAGTAATAGTTGAAAATTTCAAGCAGTTGAATTGAATAAGACTTGCAAATGAATTTTAAGTGAAAACAGAAAGCTTTTGTCAGACACGAAATTCATTTTAGTTGTGTCATTTTAGACGTTTTAGTTCAAAGAAATGATAAGAATTAAAATATATTGATTAAATGAAAAAAATAATAAAGTTAAATTAAATTATTAAATTTTTAAAATTATTTTAAATTTTATTAATTCAATTATTTAGTTTTTGGTTGAAATTATAAAAATATGTATACTTAGAAAATTACTCATAAATTTTTATTTTTGTTAAAAAAAATTTTTTTTTTTTTGTCTAATAAATTTATAATTTGGTTTAATCAGACAAAAACACCATGCCAAGCTTATTTACTACTGTTTTTTTTTTTTTTTTTGTTTTGTTTTCAAAAATTCAAACTTCAATATCGAAAGTGTTGAATGTCGAGATAAAAAAAACGTATTTTTTTTACGATTAATGAAGATTTTTTTTTTTTTATGAAACACAATATTAAAGGCACTTTTTGGATAAAAGAGAATATAAATGAGTATACAGGTTTGTCACATATATAGCTCAAAAGCCTCGTAAAATTTATAAAATCAATAAATTTGTTTATCAGCTTTTAAACACACACATTAGGAGTGAAAAAAAGAATTAGCTTTTTTTTTCATTATTGAACATTACAAAAGTCGGAAGCAAATATTTAACAATAATATTCTCTATTTAAAGTGATTTAAAACGGAAATTTGAAAATTTTTTTTAATTAATAATAACGCTGTTAATAAATTTCGCTTTTATAAAGGAGTATATACAAAAAAAATTTCAAATTGAAAATAATCTGATATTTAAAAATTTTTTTAATAAAAAATTTTGTTTTTTAAAAACACTAAAAACAAATTTCTGTATGTAAAAACGAAAATTAAATTTGGAAGTTGAAAAATGTGTGTATATCAATATAAATGTGAAAGTCTACAGAAGTTGAACTTCACAAGTCGTAAAGAAAGTGTGTTAATATTTAAGCGAAGCAATGCAAGTATATAGGTATATATATATATATATATATATATATATATGAAAAGCGAACGAAATACCGAGTTCTAGTGGATCGTTTCGCTATAAAATATGTCTTGGAGCCATGTATATACAAATACATCATGAATAAAATGAAGTTGATGCTTTTTTTTTTTTGTTACTGAATCCTACTTATGCACCTACTTGAGACCTTTTAATATATGCATTAAAAGCAGTTTACAAAAAGCTCTTAAAAGTGTCGTCGGCACGCCAAGTACACGGAAATGTAAAAGAAAAGTCAAATTGAAGTGGTAGGAGAGAAAAACGTGAGATGCACATTTTATGTTTACTTGCTGGACTGAAATGAAATCGCTTTTCTTTTTTTTTTCGTTTGTTTGTTTGTTTGATTCTAAAAAAAAAACAAAAAAAACAAAAAAAACAGCTATAGGTCTAAAAATAAAACGAATGGCAAAGAATGAAAGAGTGAAAAACTAGAATTCTGGGATTCAACTACTTTCATACAAAAAAAAAAAAAAAAACCATTGTTGGTTTTCAAGCATTGTGTTGTATTAGCTTTTATTCCAAGAAAAGCGTTGAAATGTAAGTTTGTTTAGAAAAGTACAACATATTCTCTGCACAATATTATATATATATATATATACATAGAAAATTATTTAAATTAATCCTTTATACGAAAAAGCAAGGTATTTCTTTTTTCGAAAGCTTTTTTAATTCTACACTCTGTCTATTTGAAAAAGCACATTTCTTGCTGTAAATTAATTTTGTAAAATGAAATTAATTTTTTATTTCTTACTCGTAAATAATAAATAAATAATTATTTAAAAAAAAAGTAAAACTAATTACAATTATAGAATAAAATTTAATTTGAAATTCAAAATTTAATATAATTTTGAAAAAATAACAATAAGAAATTTTATAAAAAAATATTTTGATAATAATTTGAGAAAATTTGTTGGTGATATTTTGTTATAATTATTTTAGCAATAATTTTTTTTTTTTTTTTAAGCATCTACTTTGTTTTTATTGAAAACTCACATTATTTTTTTTATAAGGTCAACTCTTTTGGACAAATGGGAAGGTGAAAATTACCAATCAAAGTAATAGAATTTGTGAATGTACCTACAGATTTAGAGATGGCAATTTCTTCTAGTAAATATACGTGTTGCTCATTTTTCGTGGACCCTCCTATGGACAAATAGTGAAATACAATTTTTCACTTTTTTTTATTATGTTTCTATGCTTTATTTATTCAATAAATTAAAGAGGCTTTTGAGTACTATAATTTGTTAGTTTTTTTTTACTAAATAACCTGAAAAAAATATTTCTCATAGAAAATCTAAACATTTTGAAAATATTTAACATTATTTTTGTTTTTTTTAAAACATGTTTTTCAATTATGAATAATTGATTAATTTTGTTTCTTGTCTGACTAAACGTGGATTTTTTTTTTTTTGAGTTAAAATAGTTGCTTTAATTTAAAAAAAGAACGAGAATTGCTTGGTTTTTTTTTGTCATGAATGAGTGTAATAAAAATGAAAGGATAAAATAAAAGCAGCAAGATAATGATTTTAAAAGCATTCTTGCATCGACTTGTACTACTTGTGAGCTTTAGGGAGGTGTAATACAATTCAGTGTTACGATCGATTTTCTAAAATCAAGTCGAGTGAATGAGGTTTATCAGAGAAAGCTTGTTGCTTAAATAGACTTTCAACTCAAATTACTGTGAAATGCTAATTTCTACCCTCTCTAAATTCCATGATATAGAGTGAAAATTCTTGTAATTAGATTTCTTTTTTTTTTTTTTAATTACAAAATTTTGTAAATTTTTCTCCATTTTTCTAAATATATAATTTTTAAAAATTATATATTATAAATATAATATTATGTACTGTATTAAAAATATTATATTATAAATATAATTTATAAAATTATATATTATTTAAGTATAAGAATTTTTTTTCCTCCAAAGAGAAAAAAAAAAATGCGTTTTCAATAACTTTTTGAAAAGTTTTAAAAAATACAATATGATAGAGAGAATGAAATTTTTCTCTTCATATCTTTTTAAACCCCCCCTCCTTTTCCCTCTTGACTGGATAGTAAAAATTTCCCTAGAAAAATCATTTCCCTTCGCAGATATGAGAAAAAGAAAAAAATTTAAACCCCACTAAAGATTTTTAGCACACATTGCATTATATTTTTTGTAAAACACTTCAAGAAAAAAAGAAAACAAAGAATACAAAAGTTACATATTTTTTTGTGTGTGCAAAAAATAATTTAAATATTCCAATTTTTTTGTCAATCAAACAATTTTTACAGTTTACATTTGGAAGGAATAAATAATTTAAATTATCAATCTAATTTTATAATCATATATAAATACGAAATTTGCAATTTTAGTAATAAACAGTAATTGGAATAATTATTGTTTACTATTTAAATAATGCATAGTAAAATTAAATTAAACTTGTCATAATTTTAGCTTTTTATACTAAATGAAGAAATAAAAACATTGATGATTGCAAAATCTGTATTTACATTATCTAATGTAATAATAATAATGTGAAAAACATAAAATTTTGAATGAAAATTGTAAATTTTGTAATGAAATTCAATTTAATTCTCTTATGAGCTCTAGATGTAATTACTAAATCGATATATGGAAATAATTAAAATCGAATAAAACTGTTTTCACATTATTCAATTGAATTGTTATATTTTAAAACAGTGTTTATAGAACTCTAATTTTTATAATGGTTTCAAAAAAAAAAAAATTTCATTCAATTTTTGTAATTAGTATTTTTCAAGTATTAACTTATTTATCTGTAAATAAATGTCAATGCATTTGAGTTTAATTTCGATTAGAGCAAATATATATATATATAAACAAAAGTTGATATTGTGTTTATTTTATTAAAAGTTGTTGTTTATTAATAAATAGAACAATTCATTAGAACGAGAGTAATAAAAAAATAAATAAATGTTTTTAATCTATATAAAATGTGCACTCTACATTAATTCGTTGTCGTGTTTATTTTAGAAAAAAAAAGATTCTATTTATTATTAAACAAAAATTGTGGTACGGGCATCAGAAAAACAAATTGTTTTTAATCAACATATTAATTTTTATTATGTAGATTAAAAAACTTTTGTTTTTTTTTTAATTTTTTTTTCTTTCTAGGAATTAAATTGAATTCCCTTCACTAAGTGTTGTTATTTTTTTTTCCAGCAAAAGTGAGATAATTTTGTCAAATACTATAAAAAAAATTATTTTTTGACATTTTATTTAGGGGAAAAAATTTATTTTCCCTCAAAAATTAAACAAATATATTTTTAGGTCATTTCAGAGAAAATCGGCTAGAAACCGAATTGATAGACTTTTATTTAAATCTGTAATTAATATACTTCTTAACATAAGAGTAAATTTTTTGGTCAGTTTTTTTGAAAATTTGTAATTATGTCAGTAGTACAAGTCAATATTTAGTCGGCCACTCTAAACGCTTGTAACATTTTTAGTAGTACAAGTCAACTTTTTGTCCGACTATCTAATTTTTTTTTCTAGTTATTTTATTAGTATATCAAATTTGTTTAGTCAGAGAAAATGACTAAATTAGAAAATCAGTAGTAAAGGTAAATATAAGCTCAGAATTTTTAACCGTTTGTAAATTTACTAGTAGTACAAGTCAGTATTTAGTC